TCTACGTGTCAATCAGTATTGCCTATTACACTCCTGACGTTAAAGTAAAGATCATCTAGCTTTGCCTTACTCTCCTGACAATCAACATACCTGAACTCACTCCGACTTGTTTCCTTTGCTGTAGCATAACGTGCTTCCACTTCAATATTGTTCTCACATTCCTGTCAGACTAGTTTAAACTGCTCCCAATAGCACTAGCAAACCTACCTGCAAGGATGTTCCCATAAAGCAAGTAATTTTGACAGGTGGATACAAACATTAAAACTGAAACCACATATGAAGCTGAGCGAGATTTTTCTGAGAGGAATTTCAAAAATTCACTACCTTGAATAATAAGAGTTCATGCTTGGGACCAAAGGGTTACAACTGCTAGACAGGCAGGAGGTAATCCTAATTAATGAACCAACTTTGACAAGCTGATGGCAGAACTAATAAATGAACCAATGTTGGCTACTTCAGATTTTTCCAATCCTTTCAAAATGTCAATTGATGCTGGTGAATTGGAAGTACAGACTTGTTACAGGATAAGTAGAAGGAATACAGGAAACCATTTTCTCTATTTCTCTAAAGTCTAACTAATATCAGAAGTAGTTTTCCACTGTAGAAGAGCAAACTTTGGGATTAGTGCTGGCTCTCTTCAACACTTTGAAGTCTGTGTCCAATACAATAACAAGGAAATAGAATTTATGCTGACCATAATCCACTGGCCTTCAGTGAAACATTGGAAACTTGTAGAAACTACTCGTATGGAGCTGTTCACTGCAACCATTTAAGTGCGGATTACCACATTGCTAGAAAAGATCATATAATTGAAGCTACACTGTCCAGCATGTAAACTGTTGCAGTAAGTTAAGACTTAAGAAATGCTAAGAACGTACAAGGGGTGAGGAAGGATGAATGGATCAAAGTCTTGCTTCTTTGTTTATATACCACTTTTTTAAAAAATGAAATACATTTTTGAAATTTTTTAAAAAGGCTGGAAGCATTAAAGAATATGTATTTTCATTTTTTCTGCATTTTTAATTGTGGACAGAAATGGGGGGAGTACCTGTTTTAAGGCCAAGGGTTACTACAGTTTTTAAAAGCAGTAACCTGACACTCATTATAAGTACTATTTATACAGCCGCTGGTCCAAGCAGAAGGTGCAGACAAGCTACAACCAAGGGTATGTATCAAGAGCAATTCAGCCAGTTACAACTGGCTGATTAGTCTGTGGACACATGATCACAAAAATCTTACGCCTATCAATAGCTGTGTGACTGATTCTCAAGTAGCTGAATATCTTAGAGCTGTAAAGATAGGGAAAAGCCTTCGGATCCTAATAGCTCAGGAGATGTGCCTGCCCTGTCCAGCAAAACCCACTAAGTATTAAGGTAACCAGCTTATCTTTTCTTTAGCAGTTGCACTAAGCTATGTTTTCAAATAATAAGTCAGAGATGTTTTATGAAAGTGAGCCAGCCACATACCACTGAAGCATCCAGAGAAGCAGCATTCTGATCAGTGTAAGAACCATCTCAGAAGATCCGATGGACTAAGACCACTGAACTGAAGTCCCAGTTTTCCCTCTGCCCATGACACCCATTTGTATTCATGGCTGTGTGCACATGCAATTCTTGTTGAGAGTGAAACCCAGTCCATGTATTCTATCAACCTGGGTCTAAATGACAGGTAAATTCAGAAGTCACACGACATCAGATTCAACAGGTTTATTGAAATCACAAGCTTTTGAAGCACTGCTCCTTCGTCAGGTGAAATCATAAGTGACAGGTAAATCAGGGAATTGTGCATACTGGGCATAATGGGGCTTGAATTTTAGAAGGCATCGCCACTGAGCTGTCACAATATTCAAACTCAAGGCTGATGTATCAAGATTAAAAATGCCTCAGAGCTTCAAACACAACAAAAGTCATTATATGTGGTCCTCACAATTCCCATCAGGATAGCAGGAAATGTTTTTGGGGTGAAGCTGAAGAGGGAAGATAAATGCTTCAGTAAGGTTCAACATGTCTACTTATAAAGTGTCTTTATACAACACTGTATAGCTGTACTTTGGGAGGAACAAACTGGTTACGAAAGAGAAATGAGACTGGGTATGCTGTGGTAGAATTCTTCAAAAGAACCTTCTACTAACTCCCCTCAAGTCAGTTCAAAAATCAAGGGCAATGTCGGAATGCGAAGCTGGATAGCATAATTAAACAGATTTAAAAGGCTATCACTGAATCTGGAATTGTGGCTTCAAAGATGACAATGAGTCCTAAGGCAGCTACACTCCTGCCTTTCACAGCTACTAGATTTATTTGGACACTTGCTACGTGATGACAGGAAAGCCTTTCTTGGCATGTCTTTCTAATAAATCTTAGTTTTAGAACTTTTAATTTAAAACTAATCTCCAGTAAATAAAACCCCATCAGAAAGGTTACTTTACAAATGAATTACAATAATGCACTTGAACAAACCTGCCATTCAGGTAAAGACAAAAATATGTTTCTTGATGTACAGTTGAATGGTCAACATAGGCATACAGTACTGACAAACATAAATTGCTGGGAAAATCTTAGCCAGTCTGACAGCATCCGCGGAGAGAAAGCAGAGTTCACATTTCAGGTGAAGGGTCACTGGAGCTGAACTGTTAACTCTGCTCTCACTCCACATATGCTAACAGACCAGCTGAGATTTTCCAGCAATTTCTGTTCTTGTTTGATGTTCAGCATCTGCAGTTGTTCTTTTTTTTTGTTTAGTATTGGTATACAGCTTGGTTTCCAAACAAAAAAAAAACTTTTACCACTCTTGGGTTAACTTATGGATATAACCCACAATGCTTCTAGAACCAATCAGCAGTTAACTGGAGAACGTGTTTCATAACCACATCGTCTCAGGTAAGGACCCTGATTTTTTTAATCTCCTAGAGAATAGGGAGGTCTGCAAAGATAATTAAGAACGAAGGTGGCCAAGAAAAACATGATTTTAGTATCAGGCTTCGGTTGGCACAGAAGCTGGTGATGTTAGGTGGTGTAACCTTTGTAAGGAAGATGATGATGGCACTAAGCTTGTTGATCCAGGGAGGAATTTGAGAGAAGGCCACCCACAAATTTTGCTCAATTGACAAGTGCAACCCTCTTGCTTTCTTTTTTAAAGATATGCCAATGTTGAAAATGCTACCTTGCAAAGGTATGTTGCAAGAAACGGCAAGAATACAGCAATGACATGATGAGAGATCATCAGATATTCGTATATTGCAGACAGCCTGTACACATGCATGCAGTTCTGGTTACCACATTGTAGGAAGGATTTGATTGAACGACAGAGGGTATAAAGGAGATTTACAGAATGCTGCCTGGGCCGTCAGGTCTGAGCTACGAAGCAAGATTGGATAGGCTGGGATGCTTTCCTCAGTACAGCAAAGGTTGGGAGGATAACTGATAGAAGTGTAAAAGATTTGAGCATACTGTGAATAGGAAGGCAATTGCTCCATTAGTATAGAGATCAATAACCAGGGGACATAAGATTTAAGGTAAGAGGTAGAAGGTGAAGAGGAAAGTTGAGGAGAAATATTTTCGCTCAGATTGAATCTGAAACGATTGTTGAGTCAAAAACTCTCATAACATGCAAGCTGTACTTAGATATTCACTTATGTTGCCAAAGACTCCAGGACCTTGGTCCAAGGGCTGTACATTGGGCTCAGTGTGGCTAGATCTTTGTTGGTTGGCATGGGCACAATTGGTCAAATGGCATCTTCTTGTACTGTGAACATCTATGTACAACATCTCTCCAAACTTCAGCTTCATTGTGTGATCCATAGCTTTGTATTCCTCTTTCTTTTCACATTAGCTTTTGTAAGGAGTCAGAGTGAACTAAACATTTCCATAGTCTTCCAAAATTAATCAAGGGGAGGTAGAAATGAAAAGTTTTGATGAAAATGAAAAATCTTGCAGCATTTTAAGATGTTTGAATGAAGCTACACAACTTGACAGCTGTGTCTGCCACTAACGGTGTTAGTAGAAACATCTCAGATGAGCATCCTGGCACCATCTCTTGCCAAAGGTCCAGTTTTGACCCGAATCCTTGAAGTTTATCTGAAATGGGTCAAGATTGTCTCTTTCTTTCCCTGCATTTTCGATTTAGTTCATTCACAAGGCTGAAAATGTCTGGCAAGATATGCCAGCTTAACCAACAAATAATTATTAGATTGTAAATTTTTATAAAAAGGAAGTCCATGCATTGTTGAAAACCATGTCAGTTCTCACTGACCACGTGAACACAGGAGATGACCTTATCCTGCATTACCATCATGCCTCAGTGTACAACAGTCAACGTTGATGCTCAGCCCCCTTCTCTGGGCTTTTTGGTCCCACTCTTCATCTTTATAGGAACATATCAGCCCTACATTTCCATCAATTGTTTTTGAAAGACTCCAATTGTTCCGAACACAGATTTTCCTACAAGCTGCTGCTCCCAGTCCACTTTGGATACATCCTGTCTTATATAATAATCAGCTCTCCTTCAATTTGAAAACCTTCTATCATAAAGGTCGAATGAGGATTTTGGGACAGCCATCTGCCTCCTATTTTCTAGGTTTATGAATAGAGTACAACCAAATAAGCCACAGATTGCATATGTGCCGTGACATAATGGAAAAGCAAAAATAACAAGTTAATTCCATAGGGTACAGTAGCATCACTCAAGATCATCAGCAATTGCTTGAAATGATGTTCTGGCCACTTGACTGCTCTGTCTGAGAAACAAAAGGGTAGCAATTCTGCAACGTGCAATACTTACAATTACAAATCTTTTATACTCTTTATCAATAACTTAGCCCAACAAGCTTTTGGTCCTCCTTTTAAAATCAACCACAGGTGACCTTTTCTTTCTAAAAGAAATGTATTTTTAATTTAGCAGCTGGACAGAAAATGTACAGATTCAGTCATCATTATTAACACTAATTATTTATTAGTGCTGTGCTTGGGATTTCAACTTCATCTGAAAAGATGAATCAATCCTACCTGACGTGACTTCTCGTCAGAATTGTTTGTTCCTTCTGAGGAATCCTTCACAAAGTAGTTATCGACCAAGTCTATCTGTCTGCATTCTTGGCGACACACCGGGCACCGGATCACACCAACTAGGGCAGGGGAAAATGAAAAAATTAATTTTAATCTCAAGAAACATCATCCTTCATGGACGTATTAAATAAGAAAAAGACGACAAATTTCGCTGGTGCAAAGGTGGCAACCTTCTAAAATAGGTTTTAACTAAGCTTTTTCAAAGTTGAGCAGTATTTATTAAAAATGTAGATAAAAGCACTTGGGATGCAAGAACCACCCTGTCAGATCATCACAATGGTCTACTAAGCCACAAATTCTTTTTCGTCTAACATCTTAGCAATTTACATTAGGTGAGTCAAGAACATTAAAGTTAGCATTAGTCAAAACTTTGATGGGAAAACCACTTAAATGATTAACAAAATACTGATCAACTTCCCCAAATTAATAATGGATCCAGTCCAGCAAGATGTATGATTATGCAAAAGTCTGTGCAGCCATGGCCTTTAATCTCGCAAACAAGTGGTATCCAAACACATTCCTCAATACATTTCCACATAACTTCAATCTTTCAAGAAAATGCATTTGTAAAGATAGCTATAGCTGAGTGCAAGGAGTCTTTTGATCATACTTTCTGCAGATCATGAATCAGTGGCACTGTTTCAGCAGTGACAGCTGTTTCATGCTATTATTAAGGCTTACTGATGCAGGAGAATGGTTTGCAGGACCATACCAGACTGTACAATTTGTCCTCTTTAAATGCACAAGTCTCATTTATTTTCTTCCCTGCCCTTGAATCAAATGTCAAAGCATCAAACACATCCTTGTTACTACACACCAACATGCTTCTTGCAACTTCCCTAACAATACAATACTACAGCTAAGACTACCAGAACCAAGTTCTGACTGGAAACAGAAAAAAAGTGTGCAAAATAAACAGAAAACTAGTTTAGCTTCCTTTAAGGGTCTTTCATGCTATCATTGAGTGCTTAATTGCAAAATGCGTGTATTACTTTGTATGCTTATATCAACTATATTTTTTTTTAAAAAGGCCAATTCATTAAAAAAATTAAAATTCAACTTCTTCATACAATACTTGAGTGAAACATGCTGTAAGTATTAAGACTATGTCAGATATACAACAGAGGGCAAAGTATTTCATATTGAAAATTAGCAAATACATTAGAAACAAAAATTTCTTTCTATACTATTTTCTGCTCTGAGCTGCCTCAATACAATTTCAATATTCTTGATCTTCACAATATAAATTTTACCCAAGGCACATAATGGTTTAGATGACTCTTCCCCACTGCACCTCAGCACACAGACCTGGACTTTGGAATGTGAAATACCAGCAAAATTTGTGTAGACCAAAAAACATCTTTCACTGAGACGGTGGCTCCCTAGGCACAGTTGATGTTTGTAGGGTTATGTCCACCTGGGAACAGCAAGTGGAGTACAGAGCTGCTTCAGATGGAACAAAAAACAAAATCACTGCATCTCTCTTCCAACCTCCTTTGCAAAGGTATATTTCAGGTAATAGTGAATATTCTCTTCATCACCTTAGCTACCGTGAGGGAAATTTGCACGGGCAAGACATTCTGTTTGTAGGAAGAATTTGATTGAAACTACTTATCTTATCAACAGTCAAGTTATGTCTTGGTGTTCATTTGCAACTTCTGGTATTGAGGCATTCTGCCAAACAGCCTGCTCAAGGAACCATCTGACAGGATCTACCATCGCCCTGCCTGCAGGATCTCAACGATAATACGTGCTGACTCCTTCCTAATTGACTACAAGTCGAAGGTCTCTTTTCTTCAGTGGTATTCCATGGTTCAATATTTGGAGTTCTACGTGTCAATGTGGTCAGGCCATCCTTCATAACACTGGGGACGGACAGAACTGCAACATGTAATGACAGCCTAGTTCTGATCCTCCAACAAATGAAAAGACTAGAAATTATTAGCTCTGGCACTAAGAATAACCAGCCAACCTACTGTATAATAAAACTGGCCAATCTCATTTGATTAGATCTTCATTTTAAACCAGAAAAGCTGAAAACTTCTTCAATACATAGCCTATGCTGGCATAGTCCTGGACAGCCCCATTAGAAATGTAGATAACCATTTCATGGGTATTCCGCTTTATCTGCTCCAATTTTCCATCAATTACCTAACTCATTCCTGAACTCACCAGAATTTTTGCAGAGTTTTAAATGGGAACAGAATGGTTGAAAAGTTTCTGTACAGACATGACAATATAAGCAATGCTTCATTAAAAAGTACACTCAATTCCTTGACCATAATTGCAATAATGCTTCTTCAAAACCTTTGCGACAAGATACCAGCATGATATTTTTTTGAAACAGAGAATCATTCCAACCATTTCACAATCGACTGAATTAGCAGACATGCACAATGCTCCCAGATTATCCAATTATGCTGAATGCAAAAATACCTGCAACAATAACACTGAATTTCTCAAGTGCAGACAAGCAGAGCAAATGCCTGATATAACAGAAGTTGAGAGCGTGTTTTTTTGTGAATGTGTCAATAGCATAAAATCACAGCTACTCCCAGCAAGAAAAAGCAGGAAGTGGCACAGGAAGAGTGAAATTACATGACAGAATACTGCAACAGACAGTTATCACTAGCTTATTTAGCATATTAGCACCATTGTGTTGAGAGTAAAAAAATGTCACATCTAATACTGTTAGCAATAAGTTTTTTGGTTACTCATATTTTCTCTCACCACAATCACAACTAGTACTGGATCCTGGTGTTACACTGCGCAAACAAGGTTAGAAGGACAAAAAAAATGGAACTGCAATGCTTAGCATTGTTTTATCTATCAAAGGCAACAGATATGCTAAAGTGCCACACACTGGAGCAGATCCTGGGATTAAGATAAAGCCGGAACACGGAAGAAATTGAACTTGGGGAATCAAGAAGTGATGAATAGCTTTTTTTAAAAAAGACTTGAATATATAGCAGTATTGCTTAGCAGCAGCACAAAGATCTTACGAATTACCTAAACTTGGGTATGGAATGCAAAATTTCAAAGTTCGCAATTGACAAAACTTGGAAACAAATATGAAAGGAATAAGACAAACTTTAGAAGGACAAATATGCAAAGTGAAATGCTAGATGAAATTTAGCAGAGGCAAGCATGCAGTGATGCATTTTGGGAGAATGAACTAGGAAAGCAATTTTCAAACTACATGAGGGCAGTGGACAAATCAAACCCTTAAAGTCTCCAAAATCATCCTGGAAAATTCAGTTGTTGAGGCATCAATGGGAGAGAAGTCAACTCATTAAACAGAGTGGAAAGAAAATGCAAGGATCTGCTCCTCTAATTTCAGGTTGCTTCCCTCTGCACTTACTACTCCTAGGTCTACCAATGAGCCAATAAGCAACAAACATTGGAGAGAAACCATCTGCGATTGCAAGAACAGTGAGCAGCTAGTTAAGTCAGTGAGAGCAGTTGAGGTGTCACTGGGGGATGCAGGAGCAGGGAAAGGCAAACTCCAGAGCGAGATGCAGGAAGGCAAGAAAGGGGACTGGTGAAAGCAGAGGGGATTATAATTGTGCTAGGAGGGGATGGGCCAGGAGACAGGTAGGTCACAAGGGTGTGTGGAGGAGAGATGCAGGTTGCAAGATGGGAGGGTGTAGAGAATCAGGGAGAGAGGCAGTTTGCCTGGGAAATAAAGCACAAAAGAGGCTGTTATTATAAAGAGAACAGTTTCAAACCATTCAAAAGGAGCTCTCAGCTGATGCTGTGTTAGGAAAACTTGAAATCACCGAGGTAATGGATGATGTGCAAATGATGTGACATTTCTCACTTCAGGCTACAGATTCTCTGCAGCCAATTATATGGGGAAGATTGGGATATATTCTGGTGTATTATGGTATATTACATTGGATGTTACAACAAACGCTGTACAATTAAATTTAACATAGATGGAACTACTTAATGCAGTAAAAAGAGTCATAATGGATTGTTTAAAATATTCCAGCTTTGTGAACATGAGTTATGACCTCACCAGTCTTCAGAAGGTACATTTAAGGCCACAGCTTTGTATACACAGCTGGGAAATTAATGATTTCCTTGTTGGGTTGTGGCCTTCAATTGAATGCTGTTGATAACTGATGATATTGATGAATTCTTTTAATTCTGCTTTGGCACAAGTTCGAACTTTTATTCACGTTTAGGATCTCTTACTTGGCAGATGGAATATAAATGTGGGGAAAATGAGGGGTTATGCATTTGGGCAAGATAGAGAAGCTGAATATTATTCGAATGTGAAAGACTGCAGAAAGCTACAGAACAGAGGCATCTGGGTGTCCATGTCCATGAATCATAAAAAGATAGCAACCAAATTCTGTGCAGAATAAGGCAAGCAAATGGGATGTTGAGCTTTATTTCAAAGCAAGTATAAAAAGTAGGTGGTTTTCCTAAAACACTACAAGAAACTAGTCAGATCACAGCTGGAATAAGGTGAACAGGTTTTGGCCCCTTTTTCTCAGGAAAGGCAAACAGGCATTGGAGGCAGTTCAGAGAAGGTTCACTTTGCCAATACCAGGTATGGCAGGACTGGCTTGAGTGTTTGAGTAGATTGGGTCTGAAATAAAGAAGAATGGAAGGTGACCTTATTAAATATACAAAGATTCTTAGGGGGACTTGACTGGGTCAATGCAGAAAGGCTGTTCCCCTTGTGGAAGAATCTAAGACCAGTGGGCATAATTTCAGAATGAGGGATCACATATTTAAGACAGATGAGCAGGAATTTCTCTCAAGGGGCTGCGAGGTTTAACTAATTTACTAGAATTCTTTGAGGACATTATGGGCACAGTGAACAACAGGGAACCAATGGATGTGACATATCTGGATTTGCAGGTGTTCAACAAAGTGCCACACAAAAGGCTGCTGCATAAGATTAAAGGTGCAGTGTAATGAGTAATGTATTAGTATGGACAGAAGATTGGTTAACTAACAGAAATCAAAGAGTAGGGATAAATGGGTATTTTTCTGGTTGATCAGTGACTAGTGGCGTGCCTCAGGGATCAGTGTTGGGAC